AGGAATATTCCCGCAGTTCTAGTGGCTCTCAGGATTGCCAATACTTGGTGTTAGGGCACAGGTGGCTTTAATGGCCTCTAAGGTTAGGGAAAGTCTGCTGTTAAGGATCTCTCCAAAGTACTGGGGAGCAATGGTGTCACTCTGGAGACTAAGGTGCATCTGATACAGGACATGGTCTTTGCAATCACTTATTATGCATCAGAGAGTTGGACAGTGACTAGGGATGATAGAAGGAAATTTGATGCCTTTGAGCTGTGGTGCTGGAGAAGAGTATTGAATGTACCATGGACTGCCAAGAAAACAAACAGATTCAGCCTGGAGAGGGTTAAAGTAGGCTGCTCCTTGGAGGCAAGGATTCTGGGGCTTTGTCTGACATACTTTTGGACGTGTTGTAAGGAGGGACATCATGCTTGGGAGGGTGGAGGGATGGCACAAGAGGGGAAGACCCTCTGTGAGGTGGATTGATTCAGTGACTGGGGTAATCGGGATGGGTGTGTCAGAGGCAGTGCGATTGGCACAGAACAGAGCAGGGTTGTACGTATGGTTGCTATGAGTTGCAAACAACTCAACAGCACATAACAACAAGGTTAGGGAGTTTTGACTTGCTAAGAAAGGAGGTGTCAGGGTGAGAGTTGTTAGGTGCTGTCAAATTGAGTACAGAGATCCTCTGAACAACAGATCTGAACCCTGTCCTGTCCTGTGCCATCCTCACTATCTCTGACACACTTGAGCCCATTGCCATAGACAGTATGTCAACCCACCAGATTGAGTCTCTTCCTGTCTTCCCCAACCGTCCACCTTTCCAGGTATGATGTTCCTCTCCAAGGAACAGCTGCTTCTAACAACCTGTTCAAAGTAAGTGAGAGGAAACTTCCTTATTCTTGCTTTCAGGGAGCACTGTGGGTGCAGTTCCTCCAAAACATACTATTATTTTGGCCGTTGATGGGATATTCACTGTTCTTCTTCTCAGAACTTTGGAGAGGTCGCTGACAGCAAAAGTGTTCTCCAGACAGAGGAACAGATCCCTGTCCAGAGGAAAGGGGAGGAGAGGAGAAGGCAAAGAGCTAGATGAGATAGAGACTTACATAGCCAGTGAGCTTCCTCCTGGGCAAGCTCCCTGTGAGGCGAGGGAGTGGTGCTCCAGTGGCCATTCGTGATGCCACTGGTTGCATGGTTGGGCAGCACTCACTTGCATGCCAGTTGGGTTACTTTGGAGGTAAATTCTTCGTGCATATGTCATCTTTGTAAGGCATTGGCATCTTCCCCATAAGGGAGCATACTAGCTGATTGGACTGGCTTTTGCCTTCGTATTTGCTTTTTATCTCACAGGGCCTGGCTGTACTCCAGTAGCTTGTTTGGCAAGGCCCGGCTGAAACTGCAAGGCGACATCATTCTAACGTGGCCCACCTTCCCCGTGTTTCTGCCCCTAATTATCCAGCAAATGTCTCACTTGGTAACAGTACATCTTGAACAGACAAAAAGTTAACTGAGTATGAAGCTAGAGCTCTGATGGTGTAATGCAAAGCAAGGTAGGCTGCTGGCCCAAAGCTGCCTGTGATTTCAGTTCTCCAGCAGCTTCTTGGAAGATGGGTTGTCTCTTCTTGTTGTGCTTTACAGCCTCTGAAACCATTCACTGTTATTTGGAACCTACTGAAAGGTGGTGAATGACTGAATACATAGACTAGTTGAGAATGTGGAAGTACATCATGTGGGACACCCATTGTTAAGTGCTGTCAAGGGGCTGATGACTCTCAATGACCTAGTAAACACAACTCTGACACGCTCATTGCTAGGATCTTCTGTCTCTAGCCCCTCCACCCGTTCCAGCATGAAGTTTCTTTCCGAGGACTGGCCCCTCCTGAGAATATACCATAGTGGTAGTATGTGCTGTCAACTGTGACTCAACGAGTGACCCTGTGCACAGTAGCTCTAAGCCAGTCTCACTGACTCTGGTTCACCTCTCCCTTTACTCCCATTACTGTGTCCATCCATCTCATTTAAGTCTTCCTCTTCTGTGCTGTCACTCCATCCTTCTAAGCTTGATGTCCTTCTTCAAGCACTGGTCCCCCCTGGCAGCATGCCACAGTTTGTGAGACAGTGTTTCCAAATCTTTGCCTCCATAGAGCACCTCGGTTTTACCCTCACCAGGCACAGATCTGTTTGTTCTTTTGGCAGTCCATGGTGCGATCAGTACTCTTCTCCAGCACCGCATCTCAAAGTTCTCAATTCCTCTTTTGTCATCCTTATTGTCCAGCTCTCAGATGCATAGCAAGTAATTCTGAAGACCATGGCCTGGATCCGGTGCAAGACCAAGTTTCAGCATGTTATATCTAAGGAACCCACCCTGGTTGCACTTCGTTCAAAACAGACTTTTTGTTGTATTAGCAGTGCATTGTGATAGTCTGTGCTCTTTCCAGCACCACAATTCAAAGACATAGCTTCTTTTGTCATCTTTATTTGGCATACCTTAGTCTTTAAACTGACATGTTTGTGGTTTTTTGTTTTGTTTTTTTGTTTTTAAATGTTGTGCACGATCAAATCAGATCTGACTGGCACAGGAGGAGATTGCACCTCCTTCTCCAGCAGAGCATCTGGTGGATTTGAACTGTGACATGTTTGCTCTTTAACACTAGTGGGGAATGAATGCATAACATTTGTTCTCTGATTACAGAGACAGAGCTGTCCCTCTGCTGAAATGAGCGCCTTGGTTTTTTAGGAAGAATTGAGAGATCCCTGTAAACCTTGCCCAGTTTTCTACTTCTGACTTTGTTTGCACGCTGACTGCCATTTCCTCCCAGTGACTCAGTTTGATCCTGTAGTCTGATTCTGGCCTGTAGAATGATGGAAGACTATGTGGTCATTGCTGGGAAAGCCAGGACTCTGCATGATGATTTAGCGTGAACTCTTTCTGTGTTTCCCAGTCTGTAAATCTGTTACTTGTGCATTCTCACTGGAATGGGGTTAGTGAAGTTGGGGCTGTGCCACACATCCTGCAGAGATGCTTCCAGCAGGGGCTGTACTGTGCAGGTGATAGAGTGTATAGACAACTCTCCAAGGACCCCAGGGACTCTTTGAAAGACCTGTGATGTGGGTCAGGGGGTGGAGCACTTGGAAGGGGCCCAGTGGCAGAGCTGGCAGTGACAGTGGGCCGTGTCTGAAAGGACCTTCTACAGCTGTCCTGTGCATTGAAGGAGGAGGACTTTGCATGCTTCAGACCCTATGCTATACCCTCTTTTCTTGGTAAACCTCTTATCTGTGAATACAGCTCCTGAGTTTTGTGAAATACTGCAGAGGATTGCCATACCCAGACAAGGAGGAACGGTGCTGTGGTGGGTGGCTTGAAGAAAGGGGAACACTGGGAGGTAGCTGAACGGCTGCGTAAGAGTTGACCTTGTGCTGAGTCTCTTATTTGGAGTTATTCATACACCTTCTAAAGAAGAAACTTCAGTTGGATAGTTTTTTTCCCCTGACCATAGAGAGCAGGTTGATTTAGTGAAAGCTACTATGACAGGCTCTATAGTCTCTCACACAGAGGAAAAGGCACAGGGCTCTGGGGACACAGGAAGGGCTGTCCTCAGATGGACAAGCTCCACTCCACGTGCCCATCACCCAGTGTGACAAGGACGTGCTGAATTTCTGTGTCTGTCATCTTCAGCATGGTCCTCACAGGTGCCCTGGTCCTGTTCTTGGCCACAGTCTGCAGCAGGGGGAGGAAGTGCCCGGCATTCAGGACTTGGAACACCTTGGCGTTGGTGGGGTTCTGGCCCAAGGCCCTCATCACATCTCCACACTGCCTGTTTCTGGATCTTTCTATCACCTGTTCAGTCAAATAGCTGGAAAGCCTCCTTAATAAACTGTGGTCTGGTCCTTGAGTGCTCGGGTAATTGAGACTTCTTCTGCAGTAATGGCCTCTCATTTCTAGCCGGTAATAAAACTGTGAATTGTCTACATGCCCAGAGATACTTCTTGGGGTCAGAAATATAAATGTGTGTGTGTTAGAATCCAAGAAATTGATAGGACTATCAGAGGATCTAAATTGGCACCTTGCCGGGTGCCTCCCCTTGCTGTGTGCCTGTCTCTCGTTGGACAGCACCATGAGTAAAGGTCTGCACCGTCAGCGGATGACAGTCTGCTCACCAGCACACAGTCTCCCCTTAAGAGTGACAGTTACGGAGTGTCCTCGGTCCTTCTGAGTCAGATAGATGATGGGGGGCCAGGCTGCACAGGGGAGAAGGCAGCTCCTTGGGGGTCTTCTGGGAAACCTTTGGGTGACTTGGGTACTTCTTCCTCTAGACTTCTGTTAGCTGCACAGATATTTGCTCCCCCACATCTGAGTTTCTGACCCAGAACTAACCTCGGCAGCAGCAACCACCAGTCCCTACATGAAACCCATGGGCTGCCTATTCTCCAGCAGCCTCAGTCCCCTTCCTGAAAGGCCTCTTCCTTTATCAGCTTGCCCTGCCCAGCTACTTGTTCCTCTCAGCCCATCCTTTCTGTGTTATGCTGTGGCTTCTTTTCTCCATGTGGACAGTAGAACAGTAATCTCCCTCCTTCCACCTGCTCTGAGGAGATGAGGTCATGGGTCAGGAAGGCACTTAACCTTCTTTGTGTTAGCTCTCATTCTTTTTCTCTGCAGCTAGTTTAAGATTTTGCTAAGGTAGCAGCTGTCAGAAAGAAGGGCTGGAGGTTAAGATTGCAGGCTCTGGGATTGAGTGGTTCTTTGTGAGGAGAATATTCACTCCATAAAAGTAACACAGGATTAAATGACGTGAGGGACTTAAACTGTTCAGCAGAATGCCTAGTTTACAGGAAAGGCTTGGTAAAGGGTTGGACTGAGCTTTGGTTTTGCTGGTTAAGTGGCCCTACTGACCACCACCCTCTTTGTTTTTCAGGATTTGAGACTACCTGGAGAGTGACTGGCTACAGGCTTGCGCTGTCGAGAAGGTTCACATCTGTCCATGCTGGGATCGATTTTTTCTGTAGGTGAAGCCTAGACCACCATGAGCACAGTGAGTGTCATTGTCTTACAGACCGTATCTGTGTGGTGCGTTAACAGGGCTTATAAACATGCTTTGGATAGCCCAGTCCTCGAGTGCTGGGGACACCATCACAGTTACACTGGCTTGTTTCCAGCTGTATTCCGAAAGGCCTGGATGGTGCCGTGACCTCTTTCAGATAGGTCTGAACGCGTGGCTGGGGTTGGGTTTTTTTTGTTTGTTTTTAATTTTTATTGGGTTGTTTTTTGTTTTTTTTATTATTATTATTTTTGTGTGCGTGTACCGTCAAATTAGATCTGACTGGTACAGGAGGATATTGCGCCTCCTTCTCTGGCAGAGCATCTGGTGGATTCGAACCGTGTTACTCTGGGATTGCAGTGCAGCTTCTTGCCACTAGGCCACCAGAGCTCCCCTATTGTATTATTTTTACGTGTATCGTCAAATCAGATCTGACTGGTACAGGAGGAAATTGCCCCCTCCTTCTCCAGCCGAGCGTCTTGTGGATTTGAACCGCGTACCTCTGGGATTACTGACACGAAGAGATCTGTATTTGTTCCCATTCCAAAGAAGGGTGACCCAACTGAGTGTGGAAACTACAGAACAGTGTCATTGATTTCACCTGCAAGCAAGATTCTACTGAAGATTATCCAAAAACG